TGGTGAAAAAATACAAGAGAGAAAATAAGAATCCATTTGGTTTTGCATTTTAGTTTTGAGATTGGAGTTCAGATTATTTTATTTTATTTTATTTTATGTTTTAATGCGTTTGGTTTTTTTTTTTTTTTTTTTTAAATGTTTCTCATGAGAAATTGTTTTATGGCAACTTCTTCAATAATTTTGATTATTCACTAAAATATAATAATTTTATGCTATTATATTATCCATTAATATATAAATTTAAAATTGGCGAAACTTATAACATTTTTTTGCTACAAAAATAAAATAAAAACAAATAATATATTGAGCTGACAAAATATAGGAAATAAAAAAATGACTTTGACTAAGAATTTTTATGTGTTTTCAATAAATAAATTTTTAAAATAATTTTTATTTAAATAATCAATAAATACTTGAACTATTTTTATTTTTTAAATTATTTGAATTTATATGTTTAGAATTTAGGATTTGTTAATAATATTATTATTATTATTACTACTTTTGAATCTTAAGGCTTGTCTGGTTTTTGTTTCAATTTTAAATTTATTTTTAGTTTTCAATTTTATGATTGCTAAAAAATATTTGATTTGTAATTCTAAAAACCTAATTTTCAAAATAAAAAACTAGAAATCATGTTTGGTTTAAAGTTTTGAGAAAATATTTTATGACATTTTATCCCATAAAATTTGATTGTTCAATAAAATAAAATAATTTTATATTAATATATTATCAAGTAATATATAATTTTAAAGCTGATAAATATGAATTAAAAAAAAAAGTTTGACGTGGACTGCGAATTTTTATGTGAAATTTTTTTGTAAAGTTCAGTGACTCCGTAGAAACATTTTACAAAATTCAATGACCATTTAGGTGATTTTTAAAGTTCAGTGACTCCTTGAAAAAACTTTGCAAAATTCAGTGATCATTTAGACTATTCACTCTAAATATGATGATCGACCATGAAAAATATATATGGTGATCTGTCACAAATCTTTTTATTTTTTGGAATAGAAAAAGATAAGGGTTTTAAATTGAAACTTAGGGGTATATTCAATTGAGACATTTAATGACTTTTTAAGATTTAAAAAATTTAGGCGTATTCAATTGAGATTTTTTAAGACTCTATAAAAGTCATAGTGTATTCAATTGAGACTTTTGTAGACTTTTAAGAAGTCTCTAAAAGTCACGGTATATTCAATTGAGACTTTAATGAACTTTTAAAAAATCTCTAAAAGTTACGGTATATTCAATTAAAATTTTTTAAAACTTTTTATAAGTTTTGGGGTATTCAAATTTTAATGACTTTTAGAAACTTTTATGAAAGTCTCTGGAGTACTAACTTTTAAGCAGAAAGTACTCATATAAAATTTTAAAATTTGTCTCTCATTAATCATGAGATTTTTGGAGACTTTAAAAAAAAATTCCAATCTTTTTTTCCTTTAAATTTCTATGGACTTGTATGATTAAAAATTTTTTTTCCTATTGATTATATTTATTTCTATTTATCTTTCTTTCTCTACCTTATTATTTATCGCTATTTTTTATGAAAAAATTAAATTTGATTCTTGTATTTTTTATTTTTTTTCTCAGTCATTTTTTTGTGAAAAATATCTTTTTTTCATTAAAATACAAATTTTAATGTGAAAAATTTATAAATAAATTTAAATATATTGACTTTTATTTATTTTTAAAAGTATACTATACTAATAATATTGAATCATATATATGTATAATTTTTATTATTATTTATTTAATTAAGGTCTTAAATTTTTATTTTTTTAATTTTTTTTATTATATGGGAAGAAGGGGAATTTTGGGAATTAACACTTCGTATATGAAAATTTCACATTATTGTACTAGATCTACATGAATTCTATTTCAAATGGAACTCTTCAAAAGTCTTTCGAATTCGACAAAAGTCTATAAAAATTTTAAAATAAAAATCCATAGAAGTCTACGAAAGACTTCCACTAATTCCATACAAATTTATGAAAGATCCACGAAATCCACAAAAAATCATCACTTAAAAAAAAATCATTAAAGTCTTCAAAAGTCCCAATTGGACACACCCCCGTGATCCATTTTTTATTTATGTTTATCCTTTATCCACAAAATAAATGTCGTCAATTTTACAAAATTTATAGAAGTTTAATATTAGTTTTATTTAAATTAATAATTTCACTAAATTAAATGGTTAATGACTTAATGTAATCTCTCAAGTATACCTGTTTTGCCGTGCTTAAAATTGTTAATTTTAGCCTCTCTTTTATTTTTATTATTATTATTTTTTTTTTAACAGCATACCAGAACAAGCAATACCTAGTCATTCTGATAGAGGAGAATTTGTTGGGTATTTGATAATTGTGTTTTACATGCTTATTTGTACTTATAAACTTGATAAATATTTATAAATTGAGTAAATTTTTACTTAATGTAGAATAAACATTATTATTGTAGGTAAAATCGGAAATTGGAGGCATTTGGTGCAAAAAGGAGGATTTCGAGTTTAATTGGAATTGATTTGAAGCAAATGAAGGGTTTGTTTATTAGGGGTTTTAAAAAGTCAAAAGATGCTTCTAAGACAAGTAAATGCTTTTAATATGTTTGGATAATTTTTTTAAATTATTTTGTCTTAGTAAAAGAGCTTATAAGTAAAGTTGGCATCGAATAATTTTTTCAACAGACTCTTCTACAAGAAGTAGAAAAGTCATGCTAAACCATTTTGTAGACTAATAGGATTGTAAGGGATTTACAAAATATTAAGACAGCAACTAGACGGAAGTCACAAGTTTCAGGAGTGAAATTTCACTAATGAAAAGTTTGGAGACTAATTTGATCACTTATGAAACTTGAGGATGACCAATTTTTATGATTATAGAGGTTCAAGATCAACGTGAAAGCTATCAAAAGTTTCGAGATCCATAAAGATTTGGATTAAAAAAGAGAGAGAGAGAGAGAGAAAAGAAAAGGTCAAAATCGAATGAAAAACCATGAAATAGAGACCAAAATAGAAAAAAGTTGATAGTTACACGATGGATGACTACGGTCTGCAAGCCGCGTACCACCCGTGGTCCAAAAAAGATGTCGTTTTACCACGAAAAAAAACAGAAACAAAACTCGAGGTGGGCCGGTGAGTGAAAGTTTAATTTTTTTTTTCTCTCTTTTATTGTAGGGTTTCTTTTAGGCTTTTTCGAGCGACATGCAATATAAAGACATGTCTAGGTCAAATCAAGAGGGTTCCACAGTAGGAAATTAGATGAGAAAATGGTGAAAAAATACAAGAGAGAAAATAAGGATCCATTTGGTTTTGCATTTTAGTTTTTATTTTTGAGATTGGAGTTTAGTTTTCGGATTTTTTTTTTTTAAAGTCTGTTTTAACGCGTTTGGTTTGTTAGTTTTAAAAGAAAAAAAAATGTTTCACGTGAGAAATTGTTTTATGGCAACATTTTCAATAAATTTGATTATTCACTAAAATATAATAATTTTATGCTATTATATTATCCATTAATATATAAAATTAAAATTGTCTAACCTTATAATATTTTGTTTGCCACAAATATAAAATAAAACAAATAATATATTGTGCTAGCAAAATATAGAAAATTAAAAAAATGACATTGACTAAGAATTTTTATGTGTTTTTCATTAAATAAAATTTTAAAATAATTTTTATTTAAATAATCAATAAATGCTTGAAATATTTTTAATTTTTAAGTTATTTGAATTTATATATTTAGAATTGTTGTAAATGGAAAATCCATTAAAGTTTATTGGTGAATGACATTTGTATCCCTGTAACCCTAGAAATTATTATTATTGTATTCTTGATTCTTATCTATAAACATAGGGCTTTGATTTTCAATAATACACACAAAAAATTTATTGAGTTTTCTCTATTCTCTTTTCCTCTAATTTTATAACACGTTATCAGCACGAAACTCTTAGAAAGTAGTAATTTTTTTCATAATCATTTATCATGTATATCAAAATTAATTTGATAATACGTGAATTTTACATATACATATGTTGAATTTGTAATACGTGATCTCATCTTTCTCGATCATTATGTTTTCTTTGTACCTCTCTTTGAATCAATTAATGTTTTTTTCATTTACATCAATCTACGTACATTTTTATGTTGATATATTTATGTTAAATCAATTGATATGCATTAATTTATGTTCCTATACCCTCCTTATATTTAGATTAGTCATTTACGTTCTACACATACATATAATTTTTTTTGGTTTAATTGGTCAATATTCTTTTGTAAGAGAGCTTCAATTTCAGATCTCTATTTGGCTGATTCCATAAATATATAATATACAATTAACAAATAATTGTACCCAACTCATCTTTGCTATCAAATCCATTGGTTTCTGCAAATTTCATGCCTTAATTGGTTAATACTAATTCAATTTTTTTAATTGCACATAATTAGAATTTCATGCCATAATATGTAAATATGTTTCTACATGTCACCAAATTTTTTTTTTGTTTCACTCGACTCACGTTGTTAATTCAAAATAATATTTTACAGGTATTTGTAAATTAATTAATGGTGAGCAATTGGATATATTATCATTTTTTTTATGTTTAGTTATGAAACATTACATTAAATTTATTTTTAATTGTTGTTACTCCTAAAGTAACACAATATTATAATTAATATTTCAGAAAAATATTAATCATAGATCTATTCATTGTTGCTCCAGAAGTAGCACAACATTATAAGAATATTATTTGCTCCTGAAGAGCATAAATTATAACTCTCAATATTCCAGAAAAATATTGATATACTGCACTTGAAGAAATAATAGCAAAATAAAATGTGCTCCAGAAGTAGCATATATTTCAAAGAACATATTATTTCAAATTAGTGTTTATCCCTAGAGAAAAACATGTAACTTCAAGTCATGTTGATATTGACTATTTGATTAACATGTGATGATTAATCATATTCTTCGAAACTAATTGTATTTTTTTGTGTAGTTAAACAAATGACAAACATTACGAAACTTAAGTTTGCTGCATTTGACATATCTGGTAAAAATTATCAGTCATGGATACTGGATGTTGATATTCATCTCGTCTCAAAGGGTCTAGGAGAGACAATAAAAGAAGGAAACAATGAATCCTTGCAGGATCGTGGAAAAACACTTATTTTCCTCCGTCACCATCTTCACGATGGATTAAAAATTGAATATCTTACTGAGAAAGATCCACAAGTTCTTTGGAACAAGTTAACCGAAAGATTTGATCATCAGAGGCATCAAATAATTTTTTGAAATTATTTTATCTTAGTAAAAGAGCTTGTAAGTAAAGTTGGCATCGAATAATTTTTTCAAAAAACTCTTCTACAAGAAGTAGAAAAGTCATACTAAACCATTTTGTAGACTAATAGGATTGTAAGGGATTTACAAAATATTAAGAGTGCAACCAGAAGGAAGTGTCAAGTTTCAGGAGTGAAATTTCACTAATGAAAAGTTTGGAGCCTAATTTGATCACTTATGAAACTTGAGGATGACCAATTTTTATGATTATAGAGGTTCAAGATCAACGTGAAAGCTATCAAAAGTTTCGAGATCCATAAAGATTTGGATTAAAAAAAAAAGAAGAGAAAAGAAAAGGTCAAAATTGAATGAAAAACCATGAAATAGAGACCAAAATAGAAAAAGTTGATAGTTACACGATGGATGACTACGGTCTGCAAGCCGCGTACCACCCGTGGTCCAAAAAAGATGTCGTTTTACCACGGAAAAAAACAGAAACAAAACTCGAGGTGGGTCGGTGAGTAAAAGTTTAATTTTTTTTTTCTCTTTTATTGTAGGGTTTCTTTTAGGCTTTTCGAGCGACATGCAATGTAAAGACATGTCTGGGTCAAATCAAGAGGGTTCCACAGTAAGAAATTAGATGAGAAAATGGATGCACCTTCGTTTACAAGACTTTAAAACGGTTAGCGAGTGCAATTCTGAATTGTTCAGAATATGTTCAAAGTTGACTTTGTGTGGAAAAAAAATCACCGATGAAGATATGTTGGAAAAAACTTTCTCCGCCTTTCATGCCTCGAATATGCTCCTGCAACAGCAATATCGTGAGCGTTGCTTCAAAAAGTACTCAGAACTTATATATTGCCTACTAGTTGCTGAACAAAATAATGAATTGTTGATGAAAAATCATGGATTGCGTCCAACTAGTTCTGTACCATTGCCTAAAGCAAATGGTACTACATTGTTTAAAGCAAAAACAATATCAAGACAAGGACGTGGACGTGGACACGGACGTGTACGTGGAATAAATCATGGAAAAAATAATCAACAAAGTTATCAACAACAAGACAATAAATTCAAAAGGCACAAAGCAAACGAGAGTGGCAAATCTAAAAAGGAGCATGAAGAAAGTTGCTTCAGATGTGGAATGAAAGGGCATTGGGGACATATGTGTCGTACCTCAAAACATCTTGTGGATCTCTACCAGAGATCAATCAAGGGAAAGAAAAAATGGAGACTAATTTTGCTGATTATGATGGTCCAATTGATGTGACTCATTTGGATGTCTCCGATTTCTTTATTGATCCAAATGAAAATATTGACCATTTAATTGGGGGTGGTGTGATAGAAGATATAGTTTAATTTACTAGTATTTCTTTCGTTTTAAAAATTCAGTCTGAAATATGTTTTTACTTTTCCGCACAAAAATAAAAAAAATAAAACTCTATTATGCACCGTTTATTTCATGATATTAAGTAATGTTTACTTCTTTAAATCTAAATTCAAGTTTTTTTTTTAAATTTTGTTTATTTTGTTATATTTATAGATTCATGATGGGTAGTCAAGACAGCTGCTTAATTGGTAGTGCAACTACACGTACTATTCTTCAAGACAAAAAATACTTTTTGGACTTAATATTAGATGAAAATAATGTTAACACGATATCCAAATGAGACACTTTATTCTAGTAAATTATATATTGACGAGACACTTTATTCTAGTAAATTCAGAAGAAATTTGCTTAGTTTTAAAGATATTCGCTGTAATGAATATCACATTGAGACGATGCAAGAAAATAATGTTGAATATCTTTGCATCACTTCTTTTGTATTTGGCAAGAAGCAGATAAAAGAAAAATTTCATGCACTCCCATCTGGTATGTATTTTACATTTATAAAAATAGTCGAATCAAATAATGTTACGAACCAGAAGTTCGTTGATTCAAAAAGTTTTATATTTTGGCATGATCGACTTGGACATCTAGGAGTTATAATGATGCGTCGAATAATAAACAACTCACATGGACATCCTTTAAAGAACAAGAAGATTCTTTTATCTAATGATTATCTATGTGTAACTTGTTCGCAAGGCAAGTTAGTCGTTAGACCTTCAACTACAAAGGTCAATATTGAATCTCCAACTTTCTTGAAAAGAATACATGGAGATATATGTGGGTCAAAACACCCACCATGTAGACCATTTCGTTACTTTATGGTATTAATTGACTCTTCTACAAGATGGTCACATGTTTGCTTACTTTCAACTAGGAATGTAACATTTGTTAGACTACTTGCTCAAATCATAAAATTGCGAGCACAATTCCTCGATTACTCAATCAAGACTATTCGTCTTGACAATGCTGGTGAATTTAGATTACAAGCATTTGATGATTATTGTATGTCAATTGGGATTGAAATTGAACATTCTGTTGCACATGTTCATACACAAAATGGTTTAGCAGAATCGTTTATTAAATGTTTACAACTTATTGCTAGACCATTACTTATGAAAACAAAACTCCCAACTTCTGTTAGGGGTCATGTCGTATTACATGCTACATCATTGGTTCGTATAAGACCAACTGCCTATCATCAATATTCACCTTTGCAACTTGCATTTGGTTATGAACCTAATATTTCTCACCTACGGGTTTTTGGTTGTGCTGTCCAAGTTCCTATTTCACCCCCACAACGTACTAAAATGAGCCTCCAACGAAGACTTTAGATTTATGTGAGTTTTGATTTATCATCTATTATTAGATATCTTGAACCTTTAACAGGTGACTTATTTACTGCACGTTTTGCAGATTGTCATTTTGATCAAATGACTTTCCCAACTTTGGGAGGAGAAAAACTACATCCTGAAAAACAAAATAGAATTTCTTGGAATGAGACAACTCTATCTCACTTTGATCCCCGCAGCAATCAATGTGAACAAGAGGTTGAAAAAATCATTCATTTGCAAAGAGTTGTAATTCAACTACCTAATGTATTTATTGACACGAGAAAAGTGACAATGTCATATATTCCAACAGAAAGTATTCCAGCAAAAATTAATGTCCCTGCAGGACAATCTGCTATGGCAAATGAATCTCAAATACGCTAGAAGCGTGGTCGACCAGTTGGTTTAAAAGACTCTGTATCTCAAAAAAGAAGAGTACAGGAGAAAAACCAACCAAAAACTTCAGAAGAAATCACATTAGAAAAGATTGATCAATCAAATATTGAATGTACGGTTCCTGAAGAACCAGAGATGTCCGAAAATAATGAGATCTCAATAAATTATATGATATCGCATAAATTATGGGAACGAAATAATATTATTATAGACAATATTTTCGCCTTTAACATGACTCTTGATATTATGCAAATGAGAATCCTGAACCACAGTCTGTTAATGACTGTCGAAATACAAATGATTGATCAAAATGGAAAGAAGCCATACAAGCAGAATTGAATTCTTTGGAGAAACGAAAAGTGTTTGGACTAATAGTTCGAACACCTGAAAATGTAATTCCCGTTGGATACAAATGGATTTTTGTACGAAAGAGAAATAAAAATAATAAAATTACAAGATAGAAAGCCCGACTAGTGGCTTAAGGTTTCTCCCAAAGACCGGGAATTGATTATGAGGAAACATATTATCCCGTAATGGATACCATCACTTTTAGGTTCTTAATTAGTTTGAACGTGTCACAAGGGCTCGATATACGCCTTATGGATGTAGTAACTGCCTACCTATATGGTTCACTTGACAGTGACATATATATGAAAGTTCTTGAAGGATTTAAGGTGCCAGGAATAAATGATACATGTCCGAAAACTATATTCTCAATTAAATTGCAAAAATCATTATATGGATTGAAACAATCCGGACGCATGTAGTATAATCGCCTTAGCGAATATTTGTTGAAAGAAGGTTATAAAAATGACGATATCTGCCCATGTGTTTTCATAAAGAAAACAAATATTGGATTTGCAATTGTGGCAGTTTATTTTGATGATTTAAATTTAATTGGAATTCTTGAAGAGCTCAACAAAACTGCAGATTATTGAAGAAATGAATTTGAGATGAAAGATTTGAGGAAAACCAAATTTTGTCTTGGATTACAAATTGAACATTTTTCAGAGGGATTATTTGTTCATCAATCTACTTATACAGAAAAAGTCTTGAAACGCTTTTATATGGATAATGCACATCCATTGCCATCACCTATGGTTGTTCAATCACTTGATGTGATAAAAGATCCATTTCGTCCACTTGAAGATGGAGAAAAGATTCTTGATCCTGAAGTACCATACCTTAGTGCAATTGGAGTATTAACTTATCTTACAAATTGCACTCAACCTGACATAACTTTTTTTGTAAATCTCCTTGCAAGATATAGCTTTACACCAACTTAAAGGCATTATAATGGTGTTAAATATATTTTGCGTTACCTAAAAGGTACTATTGATATGAGACTGTTTTATTCTCAAAAGTCAGGATCTGTTTTAGTGGGATATGCAAATGCAGGTCATCTCTTCGATCCACATAAAGCTAAATCACAAACAGGATATGTGTTTACACGTGGAGGAACAGCTATATCATGGAGATCTGTGAAACAATCCTTGACAACAATATTCTCAAATCATTCTGAGATTATTGCAATCTATGAAGCAGGGCGAGAATGTGTATGGTTGAGGAATATGACCCATCATATCCAATTATCATGTGGATTGACTTCAACAAAACATAATCCAACAATTTTGTTTGAAGATAATGCAGCTTGTATCGCACAACTCAAGGAAAGCTATATCAAAGGCGACAGGACGAAGCATATTTCTCCAAAATTCTTTCATACACATGAACTTCAGAAAAATGGTGACATTGATATTCAACAAATTCACTCAAGTGACAATGTGACTGATCTATTCACAAAAAGCGCTGCCAACATCTACATTCAAGAAATTAGTTCATGAGATTGAAATGCGTTGACTCAAAGATTTTCAGTGATTAACATCAGGGGGGAGTAGCTGTACTCTTTTTCCTTCGATTAGGTTTTGTCCCATTGGATTTTCCTAGCATGGTTTTAATGAGACAGAATTTAATTTTAATACTCTAAAATAACTATACTTTTTTTCCTTCATTTGATTTTTTTTCCATTGGATTTTTATCAAACAAGGTTTTAACGAGACATATATTTTGTAATATGTCATTCAAGGGGGAGTGTTGTAAATGGAAAGTCCATTAAAGTTTATTGGTGAATGACATTTGTACCCCTGTAGCCCTAAAAATTATTACCATTGTATCCCTAATTCTTACCTATAAATATAGGGTTTTGATTTTCAATAATA